TTCTTTGCTACAGTCCTATTGAGCTTGTGGATGTGAGCTCCACTGGCCACCAGAGCCTGGCAGTCAAGGGGCTTCCCCTGAGTGGCAGCTACAAAAACTGTCACCATACATAAAAACCAGGGCATACAATGTGTGTACAAGCTACCCACTGGGAGTTACTACTGTTCTGGTGCACAGCAGGCTGTGTTAAGATAGCTACCACCCTCTGTGGTCTTTGGGGAGCATGACAGTTGGCCCTTACATGTGTGTTTAATTAGGGTGCAGCTATGAGAATAAGCTAATAGACTTCTTACACAATAGACTGGGTGCCTCAGACTGTGGGTTTTCTTCTGTGCCCTAGGGGTGGTAGCTGGATAAGAGCTCTTTCTCAGAGTGACATTAGCATTATGGCAGAATGAGAAGGCTTCTTTGTATCTCTCTTTAAATCTACAAGTTGGACATCTATAACCCAACAAAGGTTTCTCTGTTTAACACACTAGCACAACTAATAGATCCACAAATTGATACTTCTGAAAGTGTGCAAAATGGAATACATAGGACGAGCAGGAAGGGGGAAGGACAGAGAGAGTGCCTGCAGATGTGGTTCCCAGTCCACAACAGCTGAGACCATGACCCCAGCTAATGTGACAGCGGTGAAGATCCAGGGTATGGACCTCTTACCACTGCCCAGTGGAAGGGCAGAAGCAGCATTAGCACCTGAGAATCTGGCTCCCTCTCCCCACTTAGGCACAGTCTGGTAACAGCAGTGATGTTTCTACGGCTTCTCAGCTACAACACAGCAGTGCCAGCAGCCACAGTGAACAATTAAACAGTCGAGTGAGCTCAGAAACCCAGCCACCTTCCTCACATGTCACCCCCACCACCACGATGTGGTGCCCCATAACTCAGGTGACCTGGACACAGTGGGGATACCCATCATCCAAGTCATCCAGGCATAGACTCCCATCACCACTGCGATGTTCACTACTTCAAATGCTCCAGCAGAGGAGCAGTGCATCAAGCACTATGAACAACCAAGGTAACATGCTCACACAGAATGAAAATGACAGTTCTCCAAAAACCAAACTCAAAGTCAAGGAAGATTGTGACCCATGAGAGAGAATTCAAAATAGCAGCCATCAAAAAACAACTCAACGAGATCAAAGAAAACTCAGAAAGGAAGTTCAATGAGATTGAGAATAAAATTAATGAACAGGAGTACTTTGCCAAAGAGATTCGTCTTCTCTATTCTATTTGTTCTGTCAGTAACTGAGAAAGGAATGTTGAAGTCTCCAACCATTATTGTTGGTTTATCTATTTTTCTTTTCAATGAGATAAATCTTACAGTTTTAAAGCTATGTTGCTGTTTGCATACACCGTTCAGATGGCTATATCTTTTTGAAGAATTAATTTTTTATAATTAAATAACATTTTTATCCCGATAATATTCTAGTTCTGAACTCTGCTTTGCAACCATTGTTCCAGCACCATTTGTTAAATAGGCTTCTTTTCTCTATTGAATTGTTTTTGTATCTTTGACAAAAATCAATCAACCATAAATGTGTGGGTTAATTTATGGACTGTATTCTGTTTCATGAATTTATATTTATTTTTTACTCCCCCAAATTTAAAATGATGGTGACTATTTTAGCTTCTTAACAAATTTTATTGTTGACACTATTACAGATGTCCTCACCTCTCCATCCCCCTTTGGGAACCCCCCTCCACCCAGCCTCCGCACCCCTTCCTTCTGGCCATCACCACACTGGGTCTGTGTCTATGGGTTATAGCTAATCCCTTCACCTTCTTTCATCCAGTTATTTTAGCTTCTTAGTAAGTCTTAAAACCAAGTTGCCTCTGGGCCAATATGTAAGGATCTTAAAAGTCATCACAGTGAAGTCCAAGGAATGGAGGTGTGAAATATCCCCTTGGTCTCTTCCTGTGAAATTTCAACAAGTTGAACAGCTATAACTCCACAAAGGATTCCCTGCTCAACACAGAGGCGTGCCTGAGAGATGTGCATATTGAAGCATCTAAAGGGGGGCAATGAAGAAATGGGGGGGGGGGTGAGAAGGAGGAGACTCAGACTGGCCAGGGATGCAGCCCTGCAGCCAGGAGCTCACAGGGGGGGCTCAGCCCAGGGAGAGGGGAGGAAGCTCGGGCTTCCTTCAGTCAGGAGGAGCAAGAAAATCTGTGGGCACTCCTGCAAAAGTAAGCAATGCAAACTTCGGCTGAGCTGAGAGACCTAGGAATAAACTTAACAGAGGATGTGAAGCACCTATATACTGAAAACGACAAAGCATTATTAAAAGAAATTGAAAAATACACAACAAAATGGAAAGATATTCTGTGTTCATGGACTGAGAGACTCAACATAGTTAAAATGGCCATATTACCCAAAGTAATATAGAGATTTAGTGCAATCCCCATAAAAATCCCAATGTCATTTTTTAAAGAATTAGAATGACAAATCATCAGGTTTGTATGGAACCACAAAAGATCCCAACTAGCCAAAGCAATCCTCAGAAAAAAGATCAAAGCTGGAGGTATCATGCTACCTGACTTCAAATTATACTACAGAGCTACGATAATTAAAGCAGTATGGTATTGGCAGATAAACAGACACACAGATCAATGGAACAGAATTGAGAGCTCAGAATAAAACCACATGTATATGGGCAGATACTTTTTGACAAAGGAGCTAGAAACACAGAATGGAGAAAGCCTCTTCAATAAATGGTGCTCAGAAAATTGGAAAGCCACATACAAACAAATGAAACTAGATTATAGTTTGTCCCCATGTACAAAAATTAATTAAAAATGGGATCAAAGACCTAAATACAAGATCTGAAACATGTACCCTTTTCTCTCACACATGCTCAACCCCCTCCGTTATTCACATCCTCCACCACAGTGGTACATTTGTTTCAATTGATGAACCTACATTGACATATCACAATGTGTCTGTATTTCCCCCATTGATGGCAGACTTTCCATCACAGTTTTAGCTCCCTGTGCTGCTCCAAACCAGGAGTGGGGCACACTCTCATTGCAGGACTGAGGAAGAAAAAAAAACCTGAATAAGTTACCCTCATGCAGGTTACTTGTCTGTTTTAACTGTCCTCCACCATCTGCCTGCTTTTGGTTACTTTGATCAGGGAATAAATAAAAACCTTTGGTAGACTATCTTACATTTACTGTTTGTATTCTGAATTGCGTATGATGTGGGGGCACCCTATCTTTTGGTGTTTAGTTTTAGTCTTGTCATACTCGAGAGACAGAATTAAATATGATCTAGTCCCTTGTCCCCCAGAGCAGGTCCGGGGGAGAGAGACCCAGGCACACGCTACAACAACACACTATGTAATTAGTGTTGGCATACAGGGGGCTGTGGTAAGGGTTTGTGTGGGAGCTCAGAGGAGCATGGTCCTCAGTGGGAACAGAGGAATCAAATAGGATCAGAGATGCACGGTGGGGGGTGGAGAAATCAACTGGATAATAGGAGAGATGGATTTCTGCATAGGGGTAGTAATCAGAAAAAAAGGCCATATTGAGGAGAATGGAAAGATGGAAGTAGGGAGGAGGGAGGAGGTTGACAGGCAGGGAAGGAGACCCCTCTGGAGGCGGAAAGAGGCAGGACCACTTCCGGCAGGGGAGGGGGAGTGGACAGGCTCAGACCCAAGGAGAGGCTTGGAGAGCGCAGACGTCTTCTGGACTCAAAAGGACGAGGTGAGCTAAGGTGCCCAGCTTAATGAAAACTGTGGTGCCCTCCGGTCTGCAGCTTTGACCTGCTTGACTCCTTACGCCCCCAAGTTTTGCAGAAAACCCGCTAGGCGGCTGGGAGCTAACCGCATTGAAGTGGTTGGGTTTAGAGGTGCCTGGATCCGGTTCGCAAGGGAGAAAGGAGGGGGCGCAATCTCCTTTGGGCACAGAATGAAGAGATGTGGACTCTGTTAAGGCAACAGGAGGGAGGGATGCAGACCCGTTTGGTACTGCAGAAAGGAGAGAGAGAGAAATCGTTCAGGCGGTAGAAGGGATGGAGCAGAAACCTTCAGTTCTGGAGAGAGACAAGCGATGACAGAAATCTTTAAGCCTGGAGAAAGGTATGAGGACCTGATTTGGGCCACAGCAAAAGGGATCAGGACTTGGAGAAAGGATGAAGCAGGGTGCCTTTTGAACAGCTGCAATGACCGGGATCAGAGGGGAGAAAACAGGGTAGATTTCGGTTTGAAAAGGGAAGGGACAGAACTTGGTAGGTTTCAGGAACAAGGAATGTACAAAAGCGTAATACCGTTGGATTTGTGGGTGAGGTGTCCATGTTGCAGAAAGGATGGGACTGATCACTTGTAGACGTGGATGTGAGGGGGCGGTCTTGGGGGAGGGGCGGTGCAGGGACGTACTGCAGAGCGGAGGGAGGGGGCATATTAAAAGGAAGGGGAAGTGCGGAGAACTACTGCAGAGCGGAGGGGGGCGGCATATCGCGGAGGGGCTTTGAGTGGCTGTACTGCCGAGGAGACGTGGGCGGTATTAGGCAAGGGGCGGAGCAAAGTGGTACTGCAGAGGGGAGGGAGGGCGCCGGTTTGGGGGGAAAGATGGACTGAGATGTGATGCAGTTAGAAAGAGTGGGTGGAGATGTCGAAGCGGGGGGAGTGTGTGGGATTGAGGTGGTCAGACTGTGGTCCACCAAAGCCGCTTGCGCGCTGAGGTCCTGAGATGGGCGGGGCTCTGGTCGTTGCGCTTACGCAGTATTGAGTTGCGGCAGGCTTGTGTAGGGTAAAGGGGTGGGGTGGTAGAACTGACTGGTGGATGTTTAGAGGCAAAAGGCGGTAGGGTTTACAAACCAGATGGTCTGGGTTTCTAGGTATGAGAATCCCGTAGTTGAAGGGTTTGGGGCCCCAGGTTAGATGAGGTTGCCCCCTCCTTCAGAAAAGCTGGTGAATCTCCTCCTCCCTCTCATTCCGTTCTCCCCTAACTCAGACCCCTTCCCCTCAGGTTCAGCTGTTACATGACCTCCCAGAAAAATGGATAGGAGAAATGACCACGGTTATAGGATGCCCCCGGTCCAGGTGAGGCCCCTCTGCATTCTTGCCTGGCCAGCTGCGCCATCTTGAGTTCACTTCCTGCTTTGAGCCCCCTACCACTCTGTAGTTGCGTCATTTTCTGACTAGCCTGTCTCCGTCCACCCCTGCGTGGTGGAGGAGGAGGAGAAAAAACATAAGGCCTGACTCTTTCTTTTGCTCTCTTCCTTTTCCCTCACCCTCCCTTTCAATCACTGCTTAGAGGAAGGGGAGACCTTCATGGAAAGGGTGGGCTGTAGGGAGATCAGATCAATCAGCAGAGCATAATCCTAAGTGTATAGGGCCCTCTGCCTACCCCTGGGAGCTTGGGGCTTCACTTCCCACCAGATGTACACGCTGAGACCACTGAAGAGGACAGTGTCTTGCTGATGCATACCCTCTTGGCAGCAACAAAGGACCCCCTGGCTATGGACCCACCAGTTGCCAACCGACCTAAGAAAAGCAAGACCAAGAAGGCCCCTATTAAGGCTGTTACTAAGACAATACCTGTTGCCCCCCCCCCCCCAGTCCCATCTTCCAATGTGATTACCATCAACAAGCCTAAAATACCTTTGCAGGTTTTAAAACTGCCAATCAGCCCCCAGATCAGCCAGGCTTCAGCTACCACTGAGGCAGCTAATATTCAAGCTTCTTCAGTCACCACTCAGTCTAAGAAAGCCAACAAGACAAAGAGAGCTGCTGCTAAGGCAGCCCAAGGCCCTCAATCTCCAACTGGCAGTGAGAGTGTCACTACACAGATCAAGTCACCCTTGAAGGCCCTCTACCTATCAGTCATCCCACAGACTACCCAGGCTCCACTTGCCAGCGAGTCAGCAAATTCCCAGGCCTTAGTAGCCTCCATCAAGCCTAAGAAAGCTTCCAAGGCTAAGAAGGCTGCCGATAAGGCCATATATAATTCCACTGAGATCTCATTGGCTTCAAACACCATCCACACAGCTACCACCCAAGGCCAAATGACCAATGAGGCAACCAATACCCAGGCCACGACAGCTTCCGTTCGAACTAAGAAAGCCTCCAAAGACAAGAGGGCAACTGTTAAAGGCACAAATACTGACACTGTCCTAGGGGCCCCAGATACCACTGAGAGAGGTATCAGGCAGATTGAGGCCTCGGCAGCGGCTATCCGGGCCAAAAAATCCAAAGGCAAGAAGGCTGCCAATGAGGGCATACATTTTGCCTATGAGATCTCTGAGGCCCCACCTGCCGTTCAAATGGTCACAAACCAAGCCCTAGCTGCCACTCTTCAGGTCAAGAGAGGGTCCAGGGCTCAGAAGACTTCCCCTAAGGCCCAGGTAGCTAAAACTCAGATTCAAATTGTTGACCAAGGAGCTCAGGCCAAGATGGCCAGCTCTCAGACCAACTTAAGTACCCTTGAGACTCAGGTTGCTGCTGCTGTCCAGGCCCTGGCAGATGACTACCTGGCTCAGTTGAGTCTGGAGCCCACAACCAGGACCCGGGGCAAGAGGAACCGAAAGGTGAGATCTCTGACATCACGATCCTTAAATTTGCACTTGGTTTCCATTCCTAGCCTCCTAGTTTGTTCATTTATTCTATAAAATTTTATTGAGCCTTTTTACCTTGAGACAGTCTCTGTGTTCACATAGGCTGTGAGAGATGCTGAGAAGAATGTGACGTAGTTCCTGCTCCCTGGCAGTTCACAGATTGGTGGGAAAATAAGACATCCATGTACTTAATGACAACCTAGATATAATGCAACATGTATTTACATAGTAGTTACCATGAGCCAGGCTTTGTGTTGGATACATTCACACAGGTCGTTTTCATGTTTTGAAAGAAATTCTTACCAGCTAGGGATCCTATGTCCCAGTTTTACAGATAAGAAAATTGAGTCCCAGAAAGATGAAGAGACTTGTCCAAGGGGTACAGCTAGCAGAGTTAGTAGTGGCCAAAGGAAGAGGAACCCCAGGCCCTGCCTTGGGGTTGCTCCTTTCCTAGCTGGGAAATGAAACTCCTGCCAGGAAGACAGTGAAAGACAAGTCTAGGACTCAGGGTGGTCAAAAGTAAGGTCAGGACCCACTACAGGGAGGGTTTAAGGGACTTTCAGGAGGAGGTAGGGTAAAGAAACAGAGCCATCTCTTTCACCTGGTGACTCTGGACCTTCCTTCTTTCTGATGATGCAGTTCAAGCATCTGATTGGGCATGAGAGAGGTGGCCGTAATTACAGGTGGAATCCATGGGGCCAGAGGCCTCCGCCACCCCGAGATGTGGCCATTTTGCAAGAAAGGGTAAGAATCCTATGCTGCCCAGTCTTTTCTTCACCTGCCCCCTTCTCTGGCATTCTTCTGAGTTTTCTAAAACATATTGAGATTTCCCTATGTATTCCTCTTCTCCCAGGCAAATAAGTTGGTGAAATACCTGTTGGTTAAGGACCAGACAAAGATCCCCATCAAGCGCTCAGGTAGAGTCATACATACCCTCCTCCCTTAGCTCTCTTCTCACGCCCCTCTCCCCCACCCCCTGGGGGCTATTTCCCTCATATGTCCTCCCCTACTCTTCTCACACTGTGTTAATGGCATCTCCCATTAAACATAGTTTAGGACTCAGACTGCACTGACCCCACAGGGCTGCAGCTTTGTGGCCTCTGCTCAGCCCAGGTGCTCCCACCTCTCCCCTCCTGCAGACATGCTGAAGGATGTCATCCAGGAATATGATGAATATTTCCCAGAGATCATTGAACGAGCAAGCTACGCTCTGGAGAAGGTGAAGGGGCAGCCCTGGGGGATGGGTGCAGTGGCGAAGCCTTGAATCAAACAAAGATGTACACGTCCCTTCTGGGGGGACTACAGAGACTCTCTAACTCAGCCCCATCACTGTGCAGATGGGCAGACAGTGACCTAGGGAGGTGCATAGACTTGCCAGGAGTCACACAAGTAAGTGGTAAAAGCACAGCTAGGACTCAAGCCAACCAACTTAGTCCTGACTTCTGTCTGCTGCTGGACATGTCCTGGAACGTATTCCAGATGCTCACCTCTTCCTTCTATTCCTCATTCTCTGTTTGCCTAGATTCCAACTAATCACAAGGGTGATATTGATAACAGTAGCACATTTCTTGCCTGTTTTCTGTATGCTGGCCTCATAGCTAAGTACTTTACATTTATTATCTCACTGATTTCACACACACACACACACACACACACTGGCCCCTAGGTACAAGGGGAGCTGTGGGATGCTCAGGAAGCTCATTGATGCCTAGTCTGAATTTTGTTATCTCACAGGTTATTCTTTTACTTGGCAGATGTTTCGAGTCAATTTGAAGGAGATTGATAAGCAAAGTAGCTTGTATATTCTCATCAGCACTAAGGAATCCTCCGCAGGCATACTGGGAACGTAAGCTGGGAAAGGGCTGGGTGGGAGGGAGGCTTCTGCTTTTGTCCATGGCACTACCCCATCCCTGTCTTCTGTCCCACACTTCCTTAGAGAGTCAGGAAAGACAGGCCTGAAAGCCCGTTCCAGCTCCCGCATGTAGCTGGAACCCTGCCCACAAAAGTTGTGCCTGGTTATGATGGACTGAAGGGTGTCGAAGCCTGGGGTGGGGCAGTCCTACTGTCAGGTTGTCTGTCTGTCCAGAAGCTTCCCAGGAAGGCAGCCCTGTCACTGCTTGTCTCTTCCTGCTGGTCTTGATAGAGTGGTTCTCACGGGAGGCCTTCCTGGTGTGGGTGGATCACGATACTCGAAGGGCAGGAGCATCGGTGGCTGTGAATTCTCTGGTGGCTGAGGGGCCTGTGAGAGGAAGAAGGGCCTCGCATTGGCGGAGTGCCTGGGTCTAACTCTGTTGGGGGGATTTCTTCTGTCCTCTCAGCAGCCCGGGGAGGGGAGGATGTGATTTCCCGTTTCACTGGACAGGAGACTGAGGCTCAGGGGTCTAAGTGTCTTGCCCAGGGTCACGTGGAGCTTGAAGCACAGACTGGGCAGAACTCTCCCGTACCTGAGGAATCTGGGAGAGGCTAGCCTAGGGAGCTGGCTGGTGTGTTTTTTGCAGATGGCTGCAGACATAAACATTCTCTCTGTCCTGTTATTCCCCTAGGACCAAGGACACACCCAAACTAGGTCTTCTCATGGTGATTCTGAGTGTCATTTTTATGAATGGCAACAAGGCCAATGAGGGTGAGTGGCTGAGCATGCAGCTGAATGGGTGGCCATGGTCAGAATTCCACATGTTCATTTTCTGTCCCTCTCCTCTTGCCTCCCCTTGCAGCTGTCATCTGGGAGGTGCTGCGCAAGTTGGGGCTGCGCCCTGGGTATGATTGGGCTCTCTCAGCACTTGCTGTCCGTGTTGTCCTTTGGCAAGAGAGGATGGTCCCAGGATCGCATCAGCCTGGTGGTCTGGTGGAATGGGCGGGGGTATCGGGCTGGGTAGATGGCCCATGTCTCTGATCTGGGTGAATGGGGAAACTAGTCCTTAACTCCCTGCTCCCTCTCTCCTCTATGTCCTCTGTCTGTTCTAAGATGAGATATAAGATAGACCTTCAGGGTATCCCTGGCAAAGAACCATTTGGCCTCAACTGCCTACTGCTAGTGATCATGTATGTGTTTACTGTTTTTCTGGTTTCATGAAGATGGCCACATGTGCTAGAGAGGTGTCTTCCATGTTGTGAAATGCCTCTGTCCTCATCTGGGAAGTTCTGATTTCTGTTCATGGGTTATTTTTCCCATTGTCAGGGTGAGGCACTCGCTCTTTGGGGAAGTGAGGAAACTCATCACAGACGAGTTTGTGAAGCAGAAGTAAGTGGTGTTTTGGGGCGTTGTCAGGCCCTGACGTGTTCTGGGTGTGTTGGTCTGGTCTAGGAGGTGCTTGATAAGCCCCTTTCTTACACTAGCTTTAGAGGTATTGGCATCCTGTGCCCCAAATCTGAGTCTTGTCCACAATTCCCATGGGTGGGACATTCCAAGGCTGGGCCAGATCAAACACAAGGCCCTTGTTAGGGGGGTGTGCTCAGAGCAGAGTGTCTGAAGAATGGCTCCTCTGTTTACAACACACCCAACAGGAACTTGGGCTTACTCCTCACAGGTGGCAGGGTACATTGGCCTCCCTGTGACATCATGCCCTACACATGCCTCCCCTGCAGCACCAAGTGACTCTTTTGCACACAGTCAATGGGAAATGGCTTAATAGTGGAGGCCAGACCATGAACTATGTTTGGGAGTGAGTCTGGGGATGAAGGGTCTTGGAAATCTTCTCCAGGAGCTGAGTTTAGTGTTTGAAGGAAGTTTTCACCTGGTTCCCAGTGGTTAGACAACAGATTTGTTTGTTTAGAAGCAAGTTTCATTTCCTTTCTCTAAGGTACCTGGAGTACAAGAGGGTCCCCAACAGCAGACCACCTGAATATGAGTTCTTCTGGGGCTTGCGCTCCTACCATGAGACTAGCAAGATGAAAGTCCTCAAGTTTGCCTGCAAGGTAATAGGAGACCTGCCCTGACTTGGCATATTAAGGGTACGGGTTGCCCCTGATTGGGGCAGACTATGTATAGGGATGGGCAGGTACAGGGCAGCCTGCAGTTCATATATAAACATATGGAATTTAATTTTGTCCCAGGATGCTGCTCAACATAAAGTTTACATTGTTTCAGTCATTCTTCATAGTTTGCATTAGTGTGCTCAGAATGCTATAACAAAATACCATAGACTGGATGGCTTAAATGACAGAAATTTATTTTTTCATAATCCTGGAGGCTAGAAGTACCAGATCAAGGTATAACAGTGTTAGTTTCTGCTGAGGTCTCTTTTCCTGGAAAGCAGATGGATGCCTTCTTACTGTGTCCTAAGATGGTGGAGAGAGAGCCTCTTCTTATGGGGACACTAATCCTATTGGATCAGAGCCGCACCGTTATGACTTCATTTAACTTGACCTCCATAAAGGCCCAATCTCCAAATACAGTCACATTGGGGGCTGGTGCTTCAATGTATGAATTTTTGGGAGACACAGCAGTTAATCCATAACACATTTACTCTTATCACTTCCCATATTACAGATATGAACCCATAAGACACTTGGGTTCAATAAGGTTAAGTAACTTATCCAAGGTCACACAGTACCTAAGTCATTAGAGCTGAAATTGGATCTCAAGACTGACCCATGATAGCCTTGAAAAATATTGCTAGTAGTTTTATACAAAGCCCATAATATGCACTTAATACATAATTATAAGGTTATTTTCCTTATAATGATTATCATTCCCATTTCAGGTGCAGAAGAAAGACCCCAAGGACTGGGCTGCTCAGTACCGGGAGGCAGTGGAGATGGAAGTCCAGGCTGCAGCTGTGGCTGTGGCTGAGGCTGAGGCCAGGGCTGAGGCAAGAGCCCAAATGGGAATTGGAGAGGAAGCTGTGGCTGGGCCCTGGAATTGGGATGACATGGATATCGACTGCCTAACACGGGAAGAGTTAGGCGATGATGCTCAGGCCTGGAGCAGATTTTCATTTGAAATTGAGGCCAGAGCCCACGAAAATGCAGATGCCAGCACCAACATCGACTTCAGCAGAGGAGCTGGCACCGCAGCTAGCTTCCACAATGGTGCTAGCATTAGCTTCAGTGGTGCACCCAGCCCCAGTGGTGGTGGCTTTGGTGGCAGAACTGGCATTAGCTTTGGTGGCACACCCAGCACCAGTGCCAGCTTCAGCAGCACAGCCAGCGTTAGCTTTGGTGGCACACCTTATACCAGTGCCAGCTTCGGTGGTGGGGTCAGCTCTAGTTTCAGTGGCCCACTCATCACCACTACCAGTTTCAGTGGCGGGGCCAGCCCTGGCTTTGGAGGCACACTGAGCACCACTGCTGGCTTCAGTGGTGCTCTCATGACCAGTACCAGCTTTGGCAGTGCCCCCAGCACCGGTGCCGTCTTTAGCGGTGCACTTAGCACCAGCACTGGCTTTGGTGGCACACTCAGTACTAGTGTCTGCTTTGGTGGCTCTCCCAACTCTGGCGCCAGCTTTGGTGGCACGCTCAGTACTAGTATCTACTTCGGTGGCTCTCCTAGCACCAGCACTGGTTTTGATAGCATCCTCAGCACCAGTGTCTCGTTCAGTGGCTCTTCCAGCACCATCGCTGACTTTGGCAGCACACTGAGCACCAGCATCTGCTTCAGTGGCTCTCCCAATCCTAGTGCTAGCTTTGGCGGTGCAATCAGCACCAGTGTCGGCTTTGGCGGTGCGCTCAACACCAGTGCTGGTTTCAGCAGTGCTGTTGGTGGTAGCCCCGGCTTCGGTGGTGCACCCACCACCAACTCTGGCTTTGGCGGTATGTTCAGCACTAGTGCTGACTTCACTGGGGCACTTAGCACCACTACTGACTTTGCAAGTGCCCCTAGCGCCAGCATTGGCTTTGGTGCAGGTCCCAGCACCAGCTTCTTTGGTAATGTGCCTAATACCAACCTATGCTTTGGTGGCCCTCCTAGCACCAGCGCCTGCTTTAGTGGAGCTACCAGTGCCAGTTTTGGTAACGGGCTTAGCACCAGTGTGGGTTTTAACTTTGGCGATGGGTTAAGTGCCGGCACTGGATTTGGTGGTGGACTGAGCACCAGCACTGGCTTCAATGGTGGACTAGGCACCAGCACTGGCTTCAATGGTGGACTAGGCACCAGTGCTGGCTTTGGTGGCGGACTGATCTCCAGCGATGGCTTTGGTGGAGGACTGGGCACCAATGCTGGTTTTGGCAGCACACTTGGCACCAGTGCTGGCTTTAGTGGTAGCCTCAACATCAGTGATGGCTTTGGTGGTGGGCCTAATACCAGCTTCGACGGAGGACTGAGTACCATCATTGGCTTTGGCAGTGGTTCCAACACCAGTATTGGCTTTACTGGCGAACCCAGCACCAGCATTGGCTTCAATGGTGGACCCAGTTCTATCGTTGGCTTCGGCGGTGGACTGAACACCGGTGCTGGCTTCAGCGGTGGACCGAGCAACGGTGCTCCCTTTGGTGGTGGAGCCACCAGCCTTGGTGCCTGTAGCTTCTCCTATGGCTAGTGAGGTTTCAGGTAATTACAGCATTTCCATAGCCAAGGCCCATGGGTATGCATATAAGTGCTGGGAAATGTTATAAGAAACCCCGAGGTGGGAGGGCAGGGTGGGGAGATGAAGACAGTGGAGGAAGTATGAGAAAACAGTATATTTGATGCTAAAATATGTTCCTTTTTGGCATTTTGTTTTCAGATTTATGACCCACATTTACAGATCCCGCTAATGAGCTGCAGCAGTCCTTCCTTCCCATGAAGCCAAGGAACATCCTTGGGATCTTTGTCCACCCAGCAGTCCAAGCAGATACTACCCATCAGCTGAGGTTGACATGCTATGAAAAATCCAGTTGCCAGTCCTGCTTTCTTGTTCGCTTTCTGTGTGCTGTTGTTGTACTTTGGTATCAGCGTTCCATTAAATTTGCAAAATGAACTGGAGTTGTTTTCTTTCTTTATTATGCTTAAATTGTTGTGAGTGACATTTTGAGTTCATAGAAGAGCTAAAGATCGGCATAGCTCTTTGGGGAATGTGGGGTCCAGCTTTAGGCTAAAAGGAAAGGATTACTTCAGTGGGATAGAGACCTGGGGAAAGCATGGCAGGAATATGAACAAAGATACGGAGGGGGAAAGCCTGGAACAGAATGCACAGGGAGAAGGTTCTGGACAGTAATTATACATTCATTTTGAGATGTTTGTGTAAGAATGGAGGGGGGGGGGGTAATCAGAGGGTGACACAGGAACAAGGGAGAGTTTTATTGGGATAGGAGAGAGACCAGACCATGTTGCATAGACCGTCGGGACAAAAGCCAATAGAACAGGACAGGAGATAGAAAAAGAATAGTCATGAATTGACTGAAGTAGGCAATCCCTGAGAAGGTGGGGTGGGCTAGAGTACCAGAAAATACTGTATGAGTTTGTCTTTTCAGCACTGGGTTACTGGTACCTGGCCAGAAATACGATGTGCATGTCTGCTGTATAGAAGGCACGCTGCTAGGGATCCTGTGCATGACACAGAAAGTTGTAAGAACTGTGGGTTTGTGGTCAGATAGTGGGATGCATGTATTTAAGAAGTCACACTGGGGAGAAGTCTACATGGTGCCAATGTCCATGGAGTGGGTGGTCATGGAGTTGAGGGGGACTGGGAGGCTAGGGTATTCTTTGGATTATTTACATGGACAGTGATAACACTCAGAATGGCAGCAAGAGTTGGAGAAGACAGGAGCACTGTGGTCCAAGTACAGCTTCTCTGAGTATAGGGATGATGGTGTCGTGGCCCAGGAACACTGCCCACCAAGGAACAAAGCCCATAGGCAGACACAGAGACCTATCTCCTCCCAGAAGTCTTTCCTCCAGGAAGCTCTCACCCATTCCACATCCCCACAGCACCAGAGCCACTTTGCGGGGTCAGGATCTTAAGATGATCCTGTGGGAGAAGCCTCACAATGACCACCTCTCCCCACTTAGAGGCAGTAAGAGAAGTTTTCATTGACCAGAGAATGGAAATTAAGGAAAAAGTTTCATCCAGAGCTAGACAGCTCCTTGGTTGTAGCTAGAAATCGACACCTGTTTTGGAACTGCCGAGGGCTTCTTCATTGGAAGCAGGGTCTCCCAGTGAGACCAAATCCAAAGTCTTCTAAGTGTAGAAGAGCAAGGATAGAAGCTTCTAAAGGTGGAAGACAGTCAGGAAAGAGGTAGTTTGACTTCCTGGAGAGAGCTCAGTAGTGGGCAGGGACAGTGTCCAGGGCTTCCTCAGGATCTCGGGTGATGTCCACATTCTGAGAGAAGAAAGCCCAGGATTAACAGGAAGGAGACAGCAGTGTGGAACCCCAGCCCATCCCATCCCCTGTCGGTTGTCCTCACTACCAGGCTCCCCTCCTTCAGCCAAGCCTGCATCCTGATCCTTTTCTCAGGAGAGCCTGGAGGAGTCTGGTCTGAGGCCTTTTTGGGAGGGACTGCTCTAGCCCTGCATCTCCATGGTGCCTCCAAATCTGGGCGGAGGTTCCAGCATTTCTAGGTGCTGGTTATTCTATTTGATGGTGTAAAACACCCAAGGTCGGTGGCACTGGGGTGGCCCTTTGGGTGGGGAGGGTGCTTTCACCATGTGCCCGCATAGGCCACAGAGGCCCTCACCTACCTCAGGCTTCTCTCGGTGTGTGTTTACGGCCTCCACATTCAGGTAGATGGACTCCACTTTGCATCCTCAAAAAGAAAAACCCATCCATAAGCCCCCAACGAAACAATAAGTCTTTCCTGAGGTGTCATTCCTCAACGTGCCCATCACCACCCACACCCCCAGCTCCGTGCTGTGTGTAATTGTGACTTCCCGGTAGGGAGGGAACTTAGACCAGCTTTGTGATGTGTGGGGAAGACACCAGGCCTAAGAGGTCACCAAAGAGACATCCTCCCAGCTCTTCCCCTAATCGTCTCAGTGGTCTCTGAGCCTCAGTTGCTCAACTGTCAGTGGTGAGAAGAAAAGCGATGATCTCTGGCGATCCCCCAAGTCTTGTGGTCTGTGGGACAGCAATCTAATCTAGATAATAATGATGGAGCTCTGGTCCTCCCAGCTCTGTCAGGTGGTGAAGTGGTGGAGGAGACCTGGGCCACTGCCTTGAGACCATCAGCCCCAGATAAAGTGTAATTAGAGGACAATGGTTATGGAACCTTCAAGGTCTGGAGGTCACAGGGAGTTTTGGGGAGCCTGAAGAAGGAGGAGGATGGTATCATGGGGCTGGGGCTGGCAGAGGAGACCCAATGCCTATGGAAGCCCCCTTAGCTCCATCTCTGGGTTGCACTCTACTCTGGGATTCAGTACACCATTTGTCCTGTTCACAGTCCAGAAAGATTTGTCTGTCTCTTCCCTACTCATGAACATTTCACAGCTAACTAATGCCCCAAGAGAGTCTAGCCTTTGAGGTCTTTCTTCAATCTGGCCCCAACATACACTTAATTGTTCCTCTGGTCCCTTTTGGAGACTACTCTCCCCCCCCCCCCCCGCCCCGCCACCGTGACCCTGCTACAGTTTGGTGTTCTATGCTCAGTGCTCATCTTGCCACCACCAGGCCCACCTCTACCAGGACATCCAACTACCCACCCAAGGAACCTCCCCTAGGACTCTACTGGGCAAATGGTAGGCACTGGAGGCATTCTCATGGCCTCTATGTGCCTTTCCCCAGATAAAGGTGGGGGCTCTCACCATAAGCCACAGGTGTGAGTTTGAGCACTGTGTGCAGAGGGCACTTGAGATACGGCAGCTCATCTGGAAAGGAGGAGAAAGCAGCCATCAGAGACAGGGTGCTGAGGGGGTCCCCAGGCCCCCAGGCCTGAAGGTTGACAGCACTCTCCCCTGTCCACAGCCCTTCCCCATGGTCGGTCTCCCCTGGGGCCCACTCCCCCACAGCCTGCAAGATGGCCAGGGAGGAAGAGAGCAGAGGGGAGGCAGGCGGGCCCTGGGGAATGCAGCCAGACTGTGGGCCCCCCGGGATGGTCAGGATAGTCACCCTGGAGGTGGCTCACAGGGCAACCATGACCCCAAGGCAGGCTTCCAATCCCCACCCCCAGCCCAAGCCCAAGCCCAGGTTCTTCCACAGGCCACAGAGGCCCACAGTGCATCTCCACAAAGGGTTCCTGAGACCCTGCGATGAGGGTGTGGGTACCTGGGCAGCCTGCACAGCCTTTCCCCCACCCAGGCCTGCGCCCTCTGACTACTCTCACTCTTTTTGGTGGACAAGCATTATCCCCTTGTTTGCAGTCATTGACTATGATGCATAAAGTTCTCTCAATATCCACTTATAATTTCTTGTATGGGCCTAGGTTGTATTTACCAGACAGCCCTGAGGAGAGGGGATGATCAGCGAGGCTTTCAGAGTGAAGACACTTGTTCTAAGGCACACAGCCAGGGAGTGGCAGCCCTGGGACTAGAACCCAGAACACTCTTGAGAGGTTCAATTGTGTGTTCTGTCCACTGCAGTCAGCTGCCACTCTTTGAGGGGCTCATAGTATCTTGAGTCGACACCTCCAGATTGCAACACTCTCTGATGACACCCACCTGTCCATCCACCCAGACTCCCATACCACTCCCCATCTCCTTTCATTAAGCCAGAACCCACCTTCATGGCTTCTCATCCCTGGAGTCCCTCCTACACTTAAAAAATATTTTTTATTGATTTCAAAGAGAAAGGGAGAGGGAGAGATAGAAACATCAATGATGAGAGAGAATCATTGATCAGCTGCCTCCTGCATGGCCCCCCACTGGGGATGAATCCACCCCTACCGGGATAGAACTGTGACCTCCTGGTTCATAGGTCGACACTCAACCACTGAGCCATGCTGGGCCTCTCTTACACTTTTAAGGGGCGTGCCAATGCCCTCCCAGCCACCGGAAACATCTGTTTTGGCAATTTCCTAGGTGTCCATACTGCTCCTTCTCCTCCTCTTGGTCAGCATCACTGTCGGGCCCTGGGCCCGGCACTTTGGTGCACTATCTCCTTCCATCCTTGCTGATACTCTGTGGGAGTTACTGTTCCTCATGGCAGATGTGAGGGAACAAACTCAGAATAGGGAACCCACTTGCCTGAGGTCTCTGACCCTGCTCTGCCACCACCTCCACACGTGGCCTGGCCCTACTTTTTCTCTCTCTGGCTCAGAGTTCCCATCTCTTATAGCATAGGATTGGACTAGGTGTACTCTGAGAGTGCCCTAGCTGTGAGGTCTGCTGGGTCGGCATCCTTAGTCACATCATCTCTCTGGGCCTCAGATTCCTCACCTGAGTAATAGGGGTCAGAGCTTGTGCTCAGCCTGCCTGGCTCGGCTCCCAGGGCAGCTGTGAGCAGCTGGTGTGGCCTGTGCATGAAAGCAGGTAGGAAGTGGGTAAAGTAGTGTGCCAATTGCACACGCACGAGCCGCCCACACATCCCATGCATGTGTGAGAGGGGAAGGCTTCTGGAATGCATCTGGGATTAATGTCCCTCTCAACCCCTCTAAGCCCTATGACCTAGGTAGGGCCAGTCATTTGACCTCTCAAAGCCGCCATTTCCTCACCTGCACAGTCAGGTTACCGTGCTTGCCTTGCAGTTTCAAAGATAGCACCGAGCAGTAATGTGTGGATGGTATCAGAAACCTAGTAGCACGGGGACCCCCACCACCCCTTTTCAGTGAGGAAATTGAGGGAATGATTTGTCCAATGTGAAGTTCTCAAGTTCCCCAGGTTCCAAATCTGGATGACTATATTCCAAGTGCCCTTGATTTTGAAATTAACAACATAGAAATGATACAAATCTGCAAACACTGCCCACTTCAAATATGGCTTTGTTCTGTCCTCACACACCCTCAGTGTCCAGGAGATGCCAATACGTCAGCATCCCCGTCAGAAGTGGACTCTCTCACTCGAAGGTGGCACAATAGTCTCTTGCCAGGCCACCTGCCTGAGTTTGCAACTCAGTATGTGTACTCAGTGTATAAATACTCAACAATGTCTAGACATTTTTTTAGAAAAAGAAATAATCATTTAAATGTAAAACAATGGAAACACTATCTTGAGAAAATCACCTCTACAGCAAATATAGAAACCTAAAATCAGGATCATGAGGTCAGGGAAGGTCCATTACCACCTGCAGACAGCATGCTTCAGAGAAATACTAGCTTAGGTTTTCCAGATCAAGGCAGACTGTTAAGGCCGGCTTTGAAGACGTTAGCTCAGAATGGTAGTAATACTAATAATAGTAGCTAAGACTTATGTAGCCCATGCTATGTGTCATGAACTATTTTAAGCTCTTTACACATTTTGATTTATTTAAACTTCATCATTTTCTTTCCCATTTTACAGATGAGGAAACCGAGGCCAGGTTAAAGTAATTTGCCAAAGCTAGTGTGTGACAGAGCAAGAACTTGAACTCAGGCATCTTTGTTCTAGACCAGTGATGGCGAACCTTTTGAGCTCGGCATGTCAGCATTTTGAAAAAGCCTAACTTAACTCTGGGGCCGTGTCACATATAGACATTTTTTTGATATTTGCAACCATAGTAAAACAAAGACTTATATTTTTGATATTGATTTTATATATTTAAATGCCATTTAACAAAGAAAAATCAACCAAAAAAATGAGTTCGCGTGTCATAGGTTCGCCATCACTGTTCTAGACACTGTGCTCTTAACTACGAGGATATAAACCACCAATTGCTAGTGTCAGGGTCTCAAATGACATCCAGCTCCCCATGCCAGGAACAGAGAGGACAGTGGTACCTGAGCTCTTATCCAGGAAGTAGGCCAGGAGGCACCGCATGACAGCCTGGTGGCAGATCACCAGTACATTTTCCTGCCGTTCTAGCTCCATTATAACCGGCTCCAGCCGCTGAACCAGATCCTCGTAGGACTAAAAAGAAGAAAATACTTCGGTTAAGAAAGGGAGATGAGGCACATTTGCCCAGAGGAGAGGAACTCTAGACTAGAAATCAGGAAAACCTGGATGTGGTGTCAGTTCAGCTGCTGACCCAGCAGTACGACCTTAGGCAACTCACTTCCTTCTTAGGGTCTTGGTTTCTCATCTGTTAAATGGGGAGCAATCAATATATTCAACTAGATATCAATAACAATAATAAAACTTCTCACTACAAAAAATTCCTAGAAAAGCTAGATAAAATAAATGTCCGCACTGCTGACTTTTCAAGAAAATTAAGGAAACATAAAGATAGGGTTCCAAAATGAAGAAAACCTTGGTAAACAAGGGTGCTAAGTGGATGTGGAAGCAACAACTGCCATGGGGGCATCTATAATCATATTTTCCAAGAGGCTTGAGTTTTTGTTTTTATTTTATTATTATTGTTTAAATATATTTTGTATTGAATTCAGAGAGGAAGGGCGAGGGAGAGAGAGAGATAGAAACATCAATGATGAGAGAGAATATGGATTGGCTGCCTCCTGCATGCCCCACACTGGGGATCGAGCCCATAACCTGGGCATGTGCCCTGACCCAGAATGGAACTGTGACCTCCTGGTTCATAGATTGATGCTCAACTACTGAGCCACACTGGCTGGGTGAGGCCTGAATTTTTAAAACCTTATAGAGACATGAGACAAGGCCTTAGGTATATACAAAGTAGGGAGTTAGGACTGAATTTCTCCAATAAACCTGAGACCCTCAAAGGGCTACATCCTCAATAAAAGTGTAAACTAGAAAAAAGTATATATAGGCAAAGGGTAACAATAAGAACTTATATCTGTCTCTGTTTGACTCTGAGTATAAAAATTTAGAAAATGTCTCCTATAAGAATGTACAACCACAAGTCTACCCTCAAGTGGGTTTTTGGTTCAGAATTACACTATTCATGTGTTTTAGAAAATGCTAAGCTGAAAGTTTAATAAAAAATGATTCAAGTTGTTAGCTTCTTGGAGTGTCTGGAAGAAGCAAATAGACATTTTCTCTGGATTCTTTCAACTCAGACCACATGGGAATCCCACAGATAAATTTTTGCCAAACTGAAGCTCACAATACACAAAGAAAAATAAACTATTATGAATGAAAATAAACAGAAAAAACAAACAAGATGAGAACTTTAAAAACTCAAGATAAATAATCCAAAATATAAATGAATATGCTTAAAATTTTTTAAAAATTAAAAGATGGAGTAAAAAATATAAGAAACAAGATGCTACCAAATACATGTAGATTTGAAACAGAACTAAATAGAATTCTAGAAACAAAATATATACATATATATTAATTAAAATTTAAAACTCAATTGTTGGAGTAAACAGAAATTTAGATACAACGGAAGAAATAGGAATTTGGAAGACAGAGCTGAAGAAATTATTTCAACTGCAGCAAAGAGATAAAAAATAAGAAAAATAGTTAGGAGACCTAAAGAATAAAGACAGGACTAACACATGTCTAATTGTGTTTCCAGAAGGAGATAATAGAGAGCATGTGAGAGAAGAATAGTTAAAGATATAATGCCTAAGAGTTTTTCTAAAATTGATGAAAATCCCAATTCTCAGGTACAGGAGTCCAACTCAAGCAAGATAAATGAAAAGAAATGAATATTTAGACATATCAGAGTAAAACTTAAAAGCAAAAAAGATACAAAGACCCTAAAAACAGGCAGAGAGAAAAGAAATAGCAATTAGACTGATAGGAGACTTCTTAGCCATTAGAAGTCAGAAGACAGTGTGGGGGTACTATCTTCAAAGTGCTGAGAGAAAACAACCATGAACCTAGAGTTTTATACCAAAAGTATCATCTAGGACTGAACCCCACCAAGACATTTTTAGACAAAAATGGTGAGTTTACTACCAACAGATCCTCCTAAATAAACTTCTAAAGGAAAATGGAAATTGAACCCAGAGGGAAAACTTGAGATGCAAGGAGAAAAATTGATCAAAGGAATTGGTAAATATGTGATTAAATATAAACAAACACTGACTGTATACAATAACACGTTTAATAATAACAATAAGAATTCATTTGAAGATTATGGCACAAGGTTGCACTAAAATACAAAACAGTAATGAACATGTAAGTTGGGAGAGGGAATGACCAGAGTTAAAATTCTTATCTTAATTTAGGGGAAAGGTAGATTTTAGATTTTGTTAGTCATGCATATTAAAATGTTGAGCAACCTCTAAAAGAACAGAAACAGATTATATAACTCAAATATAGATCGAAAAACTCTATCAATTCTAAAGAAGGGAGGAAAAGAGAAAAAATAAAGCATAGAGAGTTCCAAACAAGAGACCAGAAATAAGCTGAAACAAATTAGTGATTACAATAAAAGTAAATGTACCAAACCTACCATTCAAAAGACATATATTTGCAATTTGTATTAAAAACAACAAAAGTCAACTATGCACTGTTTATAATAGACACAAAACAAAAAGACAAAAAGAAGCTCAAAATAATAAGCAGATAAAGATGAACTAGGCAAATATTAACTATAAGAAATCTTATATAGCTATGCTAATATTAGATAAAATATACTTTTAGGCAAAACCATTTTCAAGAGAAAGGAGGTTTGCTCACTATATAATAATAAAATATACAATTTGCTAAGAAGATATAATTGCTTTAAATTTATATGCCTCTAATGACATAGCCTCAAAATATATAAAGGAAAATGAGAGCAAACTCAGACCAACTTTATAATGTCATTTCTGAGGATGAAGATAAAAAAGTGAAAATGCTTTGTAACACAGGCTATCAATTGTTTTATATTCCCTGATGTTAGCTTTTCTGATAACTATTCCCAGGAATTTGTATCAGAAATGGGGTATGACTAATAAATACTCTAAAATGTAGAACTGGCTAAATGGAGGCGGTGTAGAAAGCAATGAGGATTAACTTCTTATGGGGATAGAGAACTGATGGTCTGGTTTATGTGGTGGCAAAGAAGTAGGTTAAAATATTAGCCATTGTCCATTTGGACTCCAACCCAAAGAGTATGTTGAAGTAGTTCAAGTGCCTTTAGTGAAAGTATACCAGAGACAAAGTCTAGGTAAGGTGAGTCCTCCTGAAAGCAGAGAGGAAACAGCAGGCAAATATGTAGCTTTTATTTCATTCATTCATTCATTCATTCATTCATTTATTTAATCCTCACCAGAGGATATTTTTCCCATTGATTTTTAGAGAGGGTGGAAGCGAGGGATGTAGGAAGGGAAAGAGGTGGGGGCAGAGAAAAACATTGATGTGAGAGAGACACATCGATTGGTTGCCTCCCACACAAACCCAACCAGGGTGGGAGATCGAACCTGCAACCCAGGTACATGCCCTTGACCGGAAATTGAACCCGAGACCCTTTGGTGCATGGGCCAATGCTCTAACCACTGAGAAACACTGGCCAGGGCAAACGTATAGCCTTTATTTATTTATTTATTTATTTATTTTTAAATTTTATTGTTTAAGGTATTACAAATAGTAGTACATATCTCTCTCTCTTTTTTCCCCCACTGACCTCCCCCCTCCCCCAGCCTCCTTTTAAAACAGAGGAATTTGTTGCCCATAGCCAAGAATCTGAGTCAGCCAAGGGCCAGATAATCATGTGCCTGTGGGGTGGCAGTTGCTGCAATATATGCTTTATTGTGTTTCGAAAGCAATCTAGGAAACTAAGAAACCTCGAGGGTTGGAATGAGGATACTGAGGAGGAGTTCTAGGAATCAGTCCACCCTTCAAAGCTTACCTCTCCCTTGGGATAGCGGTAGCGATATTTATCTTGGTCCCGTAGTGCAAATTCCTCAGGGTAATGTTCCTGGATTTCTTCATAGGTCATCTCCTCACAGACACCCTGAGGAAAAATTATTTGGGGACAAAAGTATTCACATGGTGAAATCCACACAGCCTGGCTGCCTCCTGCACACCCCACACTAGGGATTAAGCCTGAAACCCGGGAAAGTGCCCTGACTGGGAATTGAACTGTGACCCCCTGGTTCATAGGTTGATGTTCAACCACTGGGCCATGCCAGCCTGGCCAGCCTTTACCATAGTTTTAAGGCCAAATGATTGTAGAACAGTAGCACCTAGGTTTCTGTGAACACAGCTTTAGGTTTGTGCCTGTTGTCTGAGTGTATGTGTGTGTGTGTGTGTGTGTGTGTGTGTGTGTGTGTGTGTATGAGGTATGTGGCTGTGCAGATGTGAGAGTGCATATGTATAGATGTGTTCAGCATGGTGGGTCTCTGGTGTTCCTATATGATTGTCCTAATAGGTTTGTAGGTGTATATTGTACATATGTGTATGTATTTTTATAAATATGTGGGCTTTCCCTGGCCAGTTGCTCAGTGGTTAGAGCATTGGCCCATGGACCAAAGGGTCACGGATTTGATTCCAGGTCAAGGGCACTTATCTCGGTTGCAGGTGCTCCAGCCCCTGTAGGGGTGCGTGTGGGAGGCAACCAATCAATGTGTCTCTCTCACATCGATGCTCCTCTCTCTTGCTCCTTCTCCTTCCCCTTCCAACACTCCCTAGAAATCAATGAAAAAATATCCTTGGGTGATGATTTAAAAATAAATAAATATGTGGGCTTAAGGATTTGTGACTTTGCATGTGTGTGTGCAGCATGCTTATGGTGTGTACCTGTGGTATGTTTAGGGATCTATGCTTTGTGTTTGTATATGTGTCTCATCATATGTAGTGTGCTCATGTGATTGTGTGTGTGTACAGGGTGTCTGAGCATCTGAGAAAATGCCTCCGTGAATGTTTCTGTGGTCTGTCTTTCCATGTGCACCTCAGTGTGTCTGTGGCATGTGTATCTGTGAGTGTGTATGTCCCTGATTATGTTTCTGGTGGATATGTGTGAACATCTGTGTGCCTATGCCTGAAGCCTGTGTGAATTTGTGATAATATGCTTGAGGCTGTGTGATATACTGTGCGTGTGCCCATGGTACGCCTCTGTGCTCATGTGATGTAGAAATTTGCAAAGACTGTATGTGTGTCTATAGTGATTGTGATTGTGTCTGCATGTATCTCTAGGTGTGTCTGTAAGTGTGTATACGTCTGTGCGTATGGTGTAGCTGTTATTGGTAGATGTGTCTGAGAGAGAGCCTGTGTCTGACTAGTGTCCATGAAGTGCATGTCTGTGACTGTAAGCATACTGTGGTGAGTGTGACTGTGTGTGCAAGTTTATGCACATCCACAGCAGGGTTCTCCCATTTTAGAACATCTCTCATCCCTCCTGCCCCTACCTCTGCTCCAGGATCTCTGGCAGATAAAGAAACAGCTATCCACAGACATCTCAGAAGGCAAGCATTAGTAAATCCCTAACAGTTTCAGAGTGGGCCTAAGGGAGATACACTCTCTTTACCCAAAGGAGGAATCGAGAGCTCAGAGACTGTCCCTCGGGAGCATATGAGAACTCTGAGTCCACTTAGAAATCCCCAGAAGTGAGGTGGCTGCTGGTGGGGTGGGGAAGCGATGTTGGTTTTCCATCTGGTTGTGTGGATTCCAAGAATTAGACCTTCCTGTAGGAGAAGCAGCAGGCTCTGGTGTGAGGTTCACCTCTTCCCCAGCCCACAGACAGCTATGCATTGTCCAACTTCTTCAACTGGCCCTGCCCATGGGAGAAAGTGCACCCTATAGGACACAACATCCTTCCAGATTGGCTTTAACTTTCTATTCAGAGGCATTCTGAGAACCTGTTGCCAGTGGAAATGGTCACTGATTCCCTATTGACTTACGGAAAACTGCCTAGCCTCTCTGAATTTTATTTTCCTCATCTGCAAAACAAGGAGAATTACAATGACCCCACAAGAGTGTTTTGAATATTAGAGGTAATATGTGCAAAAGAGACTAGTACAGGATATACAAGGCACATTTTAAAGACTCAATAAATGGAACTAATTAACAATATATTATTGATCATGGAAAACAAACCAGAAACGTAGGCATCATTCTAAATTCTTGCTTCTTCCTCATCCACACCCTCATAACCCATTGCTGGGATTCTACCTCCTAAATTTCTCTCAAATCTATTCCTTTTTCCTCCCTCTTAGCCCCCACTGCTACAACCTTAGCAGCTGCACACACACAAGCTCTTTGTTTAAGCTGTTCTCTCTGCCTGGTATACCACTCCTGATATTCTCTATCTGGCTCACTATTAACCTTCCAAGTTAACATTGGCATCACTTCTTCCAGGCAGATCCTGGCTGGGCCACCTGTCCTGCCCCGACATCTGTGCGCCCACAGTCTAGCCTACCAGAGCCTGTATTACACACACTGCTTTGTATTCCTCTAACCTGTTTAGCCTGAAAATTCAGTGAAGACAGGAACCAAAATATGTGAAACAGATTTTGCGAAACAAAGTAGGTATCAAATAAATGTTTATATCACATGTGTGCAAGAAACAAACCATAACTGAACTCTTAGGATGAAGAGTTGACATATTTTCTTGCATGTATCTTATAGCAAATACATGTGATATGCAGAATGATGCTACATATCCCTTTTTGTAAGTATGGGTATCGCTGTACATCTATCGTTAAGGACATATGTACACACACACACACACACATACTTGTCAGTATTTATAGAGGCATATTTAGTAGGCAAGCAGGTTAACCTACCTACATTCAAGTTATTTGTATCTGTGGTGAAGTTTTTACTTTGGGGTCTAACAATCATAACCTATGTGCCGCTATCTGATATCAGTGTGTCTATAGTGCAGGTGAAACAATGGAGAGGAAACAATGCCTTTTCAAAGAACTCATGGGCCCAGATAGTGTGGCTCAGTGGTTGAGCATTGACCTATGAACCAGGAGGTCATGGTTCAATTCCCAGTCAGGGCACATGCCCGGGTTGTGGGCTCTTTCTACAGTGTGGGGTGTGCAGGAGGCAGCCAATCAATGATTCTCTCTCATCATTGATGTTTTTCTCTCTCTCTCCCTCTCCCTCCCTCTCTTTCTAAAACAAATAAAAACATTTTTAAAAAGAGCTCATGGGAAAACCTGACCCAAAGAGAGACTGCCATGTGATAAGGGTCCGATAAAATATTCCTCAAGTTCTTCTTCGTTCCACCTCCAGTGCCACTACTCTGGTCCATCACACGCTCACTTCTTCCTGGACTAATGCAGTCACCTCCATACCAGTTTACATGCTCGTTCTGGCCCTCTTCCTACCTAGTCTCCACACGTGGCCAGAATGGTCTTTTTTATTTTATTTTTTAAAAGTGAATCACATTCAAGCCATTCCTCCTTGACTGAGACTACATCAATGGCTTCCCATTTATAGGTCAGCATCCAAATTCCTCAACATGATATAAAGCCCTATGAGCTACCTTCCTTTCCAACCTTATCTCCCGTATCTCCAGACCTCACAATCATTGTCCCAGCCTCTCTGCTGTTCTAGCCTCCGCTCTCTGAACATGCCATATTCTATTCTCATCTCTGGGCCTTCACATGAGCTGTTCCTTGCCACTGAAATTAAATTTATTCCCTCACTCCCAGACCGTTTTGCCTGTTTCTTTTCTCATCCCCACCTTCATCTAGGAAGCTTTTCTTGTAAATCTCACACCATCAAGTCTTGTCAGAAGCACCCTCAGCCTCCATAGTCCCTTGTACTTCCCCTCTCACAACCCTTTGTCACATGAGATACAGTGTCTTATTTACTGTCTGCATATGGGCTCCATGAGTTCAGAGAACTTGTCTGTTCTGGCCTTCACGGATCTTCAACACACAGAATAGTGCCTGGCACATGACTGGTTGTCAAGAAGTGTTTGTTGAATTAATTAGGTTACCATAGGAGCCAGCAGAGACAACCCAGGGTATAAGCTGAGAGTGAAGCCCCACCATCCACCAGGAAATCCATTCCCCTACGTCTCACCGCATCAATCTCATTCAGGGCCTTCCACTGCTCATAGGGGACGCCCAGGGCCTCAGCTGTCTGGATAGTCCTCTTCATGTGGCTGGTCCACACTTTCAGGGAGCTGATGCCCTGGGACTGAATGAAGTTGGCCAGGGCATAAGCATACTGGAAAGTAGGGGGTACAGATGAGGAGAGGAGGGGAGAAAGAGAGAGAGATGAAAGAAGACAGGGTAGCCATGAGAACAAGCGCAGATCTATCACAAATGGTAGAATGATGATGAACAAGCAAGAATACAGTTTAAATGTTTCCAATTTATAAAAAGCCATATACTTTCCCATGTGACTACGGATCAAGGGAATAGAATAGAATATGTGCATTTATGTGTGTGTGCTTGTTTGTTGTTGCTTGTTCACTGAACCCCCCGCCCCACCCCCATCGGTTATTCATTCCTTCAAACAGTCCACCTCTAACATTTGTGGAGACTGGGACAAGAGTGCATAGGGTGGCTATCCACCCACAGTCCACCTCCCTTCTCTTCCTGCCTCCATCCTGCACTCATAGATGCCTTGAGTTCAGGTTTGTGGATAATCCAGTCACATGACCAAGTTCTGCCCACACCATACCCTCACAGATCCCCCGATCCACAAACAGTGACCCTTTGGCCACGCCTTGACCTAGGGGTGAACACTCCTGTGATATGGTCTGCTTTTAGGTGGACAGACTCTGTGATAGGGCCACACAGGCACTGGAAACAGACACCGGACCACAGAGCAGCGATTTCTTGGGTTCTGGGTACTCAGAGTGTGGTCTAGATGTGGTGGAGTGGGATTTGGGGAATATTTCTCTTTGAGTCTTTGAATTCTTATTGCTTTAGTAGGGGTGCTGGTACCCAGGTTCTAACCACATTCAAACATGTGCTGAGTAAGTGTGGGACCTGCACTGAATATCAGGGTGTCCTGTTCTCAAGACACAGCCAGTCCAGGGAGGAAACGGTGACAGCACCGAGAGAAACCACGAAGGCGGCCGGTGGAGCCCCGAGGAGCCAGTGACTCGCT